GAGATTTATTTTAAGAAATTAGATAATTTTTAATTATTTGCCTCCAACCTTCATATTTTGAAGTACATAATTTTTTTTTTTTTAAATATGATTTTTATGAAATTATATTTTACAATTTAAGCATTATTGTAGTTTTTTTTTTTAAATCTTCAATAATAAAATGTAGAGTTTATGTGTGTGTTTCCCTTCGATAAATCTAGAATCAGATTTTAAGCAATAGGTAGTAATTGAAATTAAAAATAAGCTTCGCACTAAAAAGTAAAATTGAGAAATGATACAAATATAGTTTCGGGAAGCAATAGATATTGCCATATAGGCATTGACGCTATGCTTAGTAAAGTTTGATAACATTTACTAATTGAAGAAGAAAAGTAATCTACATACTAAAAAGCAAAATTTATGGAGAAAGTTTATTCATTCGTTTAAGAGAAGCATGAAAAATTGCTAAGTTATTATTGACACCGATGATGATTAATTAATTTTGTTGGTAAGTACTAATTAAAGTAAAAAAAAGCTACGTATGTACTCGATAAAGCAAGATTAAGAATGAAAAGGTACGAATTCGCTTAGGAAAAAAATAAAAATCTTTTTTCGATTACTGACGCCAAAATGCTTAATTTTGATAATAGGCACTACTGGTATACGATAAGCACTACTGGTTTGTGCAGTTTTAATAGACTCCAAAAAACAAATATAGGTACTATGTATCATCTTAGTATATTTGATAACTATTAAAATTGCATCAATACAGGGCAATATTAAAATAGATACTGTGTAAAAATTTTACTCTCATGAGTAAGCCTCAAGCAACGGCATCATTTTAAACGATATTAAATGCAATTGTTTATTTTAAGGGGATGCACTACTAAATGTTCAGTACTAATTTATTAATTATTTTCTCCTTCAACCTGTACGAAGAATGGCATTTATTTAGTTGAAAAGAATTTTAAATCAAAGTCAATGCTAAGCTGAAGCCTAAATAATAAAATAAAGTTTGAACTTATCGCAGACATTTACATTTTTGATACTTTCTTTGGAATGCACGCAAAAGTAAGGCAGGGTTCACAGCGAGCAAAGACTCCCCCATCTTTGAGTATAGTGCTTTCTGCGCAAACGTAGAACACAGATTTTCAAGAATCTAACCGGCGCTCATTGGGAATCCAGCTTGACTGAGTTTTGCTTATCATTAAATTTTAATATAAGGCTTATCATACACGAAGGAATAAATTGATGTGTTCTATAAATCATGCAATTTTCAAAAAAATGTTGTTATTCGAAACTAAAGCTTTTTCATTAAAATGAATTGCATTTTATTATATTTATGCAGACTATTTTCGAATTGACTAAAAATATTTTTTCTTGTTCAAACAAATGTTTTGTAATTGTACAATGAAGCATTCAGAAAAGTTACTTTAGACAACAAGTAACCTTGAAGTGTCCCAAATCACCATTCATTTAATTAAAGTCACCATGTTTAATTCAGTCATTTCATTGAAAACTAGACGTTGCATTTCAGACAAATTACTTTCTTTCCGATGTACCTTCAGTTATTTGAAATAAATATCTTCTGTGCCTGTCTTTTGTTTCGTGTAGGGGAGAGTTGAACATAACTAGATTGACAGATAAAGCCGGTATGTTGTCATTTATCTTAAATCTCGTGAAACTACTTGTAAACAGATACCGTGTTATTCAGTGATAAATTAGAGACAGTATTCGAATTTTAATTCCCGTGTTTTATAATATACTACCTGAATACATTTTTCTATTTCAAGTACCATTAATTTTAAATAATTTGCTCTTATAGAAAATCATAATGAATAACTATAAACAAAATCAACAAATGGTTTAAGACTATTGCATACTAATTCAATATCGTGATCCTGCCATGCTAGCAAGCTAACATTGCTCATACAATTTATCTGAGTCCCGCAGTGGACTGATCGTTAAGACACGGTTCTCAGCAGATCACCGAAGTCGAGCATCAAAAGCTCCCATACCGAAAACACATAATAAAGATAAAACCATATATTTTGCTCAAAATCTATTGTTCAGCTTCACCCCACTCTAAATAAACCTTGTAGTTTTAATAACTAAAGNCGTGCAGGTCGTCGGGCTACCGAAGCGGGGGTGCCATCCCCTCTGTAGAGGATCAAAATTGCGATGGCATTTCTTCGGATCATCCTCAGGGATGTTTCCCAGACCGTCGCCAATATCCCATTGTGCAGCTCTAGTGCGACGTAAATGAACAACAACAACAAGCAATTTATCTGATAATCAATTATCTGCAAATAAAATAAAAAAGTGCAAAAAAATATTTCTAAAATAGAGCTATAAGCTTGAAAATCAGTGATGTTATCTGAAAAATTTGAATTTAAAAAAAATCCTTTATTAATTTAAAACAATAATTTCCGCTTAACTAACTAGAAAATTTCATTCAGATTTTCGCTCAAACGGTTCACTTGATTGACTTGATATAATATGTAACGAAGTATCTGCCAGCAACAGCGGGCACCTCTCTTCTTCATCTGGTAAATTTGCCCATGGGCAACTATGACTAATGGCTTTAAAAGTGGTGGGAATTTCCACAGGAGGGCTGTGGACGTCTTGGTGGGAGTAGAGACTTGGAGGATGATCTCTGCGTCTATGGCTTTCCGTCGAGTAGAGAACGGAGTAGGCTAACTAGTTCTTGATCCTTCAGTAACTGCAGAATCTCCTTGAAGAGTAGCAGGTATCTCGTAGCTGGGTGGGAGGTTTTCCTTAGCTTAACTGGTTTTATTCCCTTTTTTTCTTTTGAGTCAAACACTGCAGCCTGAGAAACAGACTGGGTGCTCAAAATGACAATTTGTGCACTTAGCCGGTTCGCATATCGATTTTGTACATAAGTATGTAAAATGTGCTTCTGCATTTCATGCAAGCCGGCTCTGCACTGCAGGACTTCTGCGTGACGACAAATTTCTGGAATCTGTAGTATTGGATCTCGTGGCGGCTGCCACGAAATCTTTCCATCCGGACTGGTGTTATCAGGAGCTGATCCATGTTGTAGACCTCACGATGTTTGATGTTATCTGTGAGAATGAATATGAAGAGGGAGAGGAGCTTGTACTCTTGGCCACGTCTCTTTCTCCTCTGCTCGATTTTGATTGATCGTAGTCCAAAATTTAGTAAGTCTTTTTCGATGTCTGAAATATCAGCGTTCATTTTAAGTCCTCTGTTGAGATTTTGAGTTCTTTTCTATGCTGTAGATCCTCTTTCTGTCCGGGTAATCTGGGGAAGTCTCATCTGCAGCCGGGTCCGTAGATGTAGCTTATCGCTGTATAATAGTAGTAGTGCAGTCTTCATCCGTCTTTTCTAGGTCTGTGGTAGGATTCCTTTTTTTTTTCTCTTTCCGTCTGTTGGCCGGAGGTTCTTTTAAGTCGGATTCTTCCTCTTTCTGATGTTTGGTTTCTGGTCAACAACTCAATCAGGAATCAACAACTGCATCAGGAGTAATCTCCACTGTCCCAGGATGGGAGATCGGTGCTGCCTCTGAGGTCTCTGCTGCCGTATCGGAGTCTGATGTCATTTCTGTTTCAAATGGCGTCGTTGTTTCTAAGGCAGTGCCCTCAGGTAAAAGCTCGTTCCTTCTTTCCCGATAGGTTTTGAGATGTAACTCATTATCATGTGCTGTTGCAGAATCATCTCGATTACGATTTGTAAAGAAATCAATCCTCTTATCTGAATCCTTCTTAGTGTTGAATTGCTGGACCATTTTTCTCAAGTATTCAAATCGTTTCTCATCTGTAGTCAGGTCGTGGTAGGGGAGTCTTATCTAAATGTACCCTTAGGGCTGCCGCTTTCCTCCCCGGCCGTATCGCTGATAAGAAGCCATGATAGCTCAGAGCACAGTTATGGTGTGCTCGAACGGTTCATAGTAAAATGCTCTAGTGTCTATGGTGACCTTTCTCGCTCTTTGAACCATCAGTATGCAACATTTCATAGCTCTCGGTCGGATGTTTTAGTAGTCTACATGGCACCAACAGACAGAATTGGAGGCCTCTTGGTTTTAAAATAAAATTTTTTCAGTTTTGCTGAAACACCATTTCTGGACATCATGATATTCTTTGTCGCATTTGCTTTCAATGACGTCACCTAACGTTACCGTTTTAACTTTTGTTTACCTTTATCGCGATTGAAATTTTTATTTTCAAATAGCCAAATTTGCGAGGGACCTCTGATTGTAGACTGTTATTATTATTATTATTATACATATAATATTGATTAGAAAAATATTTGATTTTTATCTGCACATTTTTCTCAGTAGTTTTTATTTGCTCGACGATTTATTTTCGACAAGCTCTATATCTTACTCAGCTTCTTTTAGCAGTTATTTTAAATTATAAAACAAGTTTTGCATATTATACGTTTAAAATATTTTTAGTCTTTTATTGAAGTGTTTTATTGGGTAAAACAGGGATTTTTAAATGTCACAAAGTCGTGTAATACAAAAGGATATAAAGGCTAGGGGGAGTAAAACATTCCCAAGACGATTGAACACATGCCTCAACTATAAAGGATAGGCCACGTGAAGTCATTTTTTTTTTTAATTTTCTGTTCTTAAATATGATAAACTCAGTTGACTGAGCGCTACAAACATATTAAAGTGAAAATTGCTAGTGTTTTTTGATTTAAAAATACGCTATACTTTTTCGATATAGTGGTCGATTTATTTATTTAATGATCTAAATATTTCAGTTGGTTAAATGAATTTTTTTTGCTATTTTAATATCTGGTTATATAATTGGTTGTATAAATCTGGATACACGCGTACTCCCAAAAATTAATTAAACCTCAATAGAATAACAATAATTATTTTCAGAATTATTCGGCTAATTTATCTTCAAAATAGAAATTTAAGATATTTATTTGACGTAGGAAGATAAAACATCAGGACTAGTTTTGTTAATTGTTTCAAATAGTTTACATTAGAAAAAATTGTAGAGATTAATGAGAATAAAAACATATTTTGATACACATTTATTTTATTTCAAAAGCAAATGAATAAATCATACACATATACAAAAACAGATTTAAAATATTTGGTATTGATCAAGGACAATAAACTAATCCCTAATTTATATTCATATAATTGCACAATTTTACCACGAAACTCATCACGTTTAGCTAAATTCTTTTTGTCGAATTATATGATATAAAAATAAAATTTTGCATAATTAATCAAAAAGTTAGAAGTTTGATACAGGCTTCTAATTAAAGCTACAATTTCGTGTTCTGAAATTGATTACATCTAAATTATATGCCGAAAATTCTTCCGTGAATTTCTTACTGATTTGCAAAATTTAAAGACTTTTACCCTGTTAGCATTAAAGGGAAAAAAAATTTTTAAATTTTGAAACGAACTTTTTTCCATAACAAAAGTCTTTAAACTTTGCACGCCAGCGTACAAAACGGGAATGGCAAATATGCTTGTTTTATATACGATTGCATAACAAAACCGGTATCTATTTATTCTTAGTCATTTAGTACGTTTTCAATATGTTTTAAAGCGTGCAATTCAAGAAACTTTTACTCATGCTACTTCAAGATGAGAAAGTAGCCAATCATCAGCCAACTTAATCTTTTTCACACATTGGTCACCAACCTTCATATCGGTTTTTTCGAACACTTGTAGTTGTTTTAGATCTTTAAGCAGTGTTGGCCTTATCTTTTTCGATTTTCTCTCATTCGGTTGCTGTTGCAGAATTTCTTTATTTTCATCCGAAATATAAATTTCGATTGGATTGAAAACATCGAACGTGTTTTTCGAATTTTCTGGAACAACAGTTGGTCGAATTCTTTTAACGGAAGGAGAAAACTGCAACTTTCTGGAAATGCATTGACACTTTCGTCTAAAAGCATCACGTTTCGTCAAACTCACAAGTTGGACGATTGCCCCATGGATGTCTTTCCCACTGCGTGCTAAAGCCTTGACGCAGTCCTCCTTGTTGGTGACAACAACAAATGCATCTTTACAATAAATGGATACGCCACCTGGCGGTATTGCAATTCCATCGAAAAATTTCAAGACATCTTGGTGGCACGCCGACCATGGTAAGTTCTCAAGATGAATGTAATACCTACAAGAAATAGTAAATGAAAATTATTCATAAAATAGTATGCAAAGCTTAAAATACCTTAAACATATGCTATACTGGGAGGAAAAAAACCTCCCTGAATAACTTTTGAACTAATGTCCTTTTCCTCACATTCTAGGACTCCATGCTTAGATCTTTGTATTCAACTATCTAACAAAAAACCTAATTTTAAGACTTTAATTGATAAAATGATGCGAGGAATAATTTCATTTTTCTCAATAGATGTTGACACGATTATTAATAGTTTTTTGTTCAAAAATATACACACAATGGCAACTTAACTTTAATCCTAATGTTTAGGGCTTCCGCCAAAATAAGATCGATCATTTCGGGCTCCATAACAAAACAAAAAAAACTTGGAAACTACTGTTCCATTGTATGCCGTTATTTTATAAATTTCCAGTAAATTTTACAAATTGTTTATTATTAAAATAGAAAGCATTATGCCCCCTTTTAAGTTAACACTTGTGTGGCTTGTGTGACACTGCCCCATTTTGCTACAAATTTTTAAATTGATATTTTAACCTTTATCTATTGTCCAGATTTGTACTAAATTAATAATCTATCTAATAAACTCGATGTGAACTCAAAAGAGGTTTACAAGGGATACTGTTGAAGATAAGTGAATTGATAAATAGCACACTATTGACTGGAACGGTGATAAAATGTCTATTTGTTTTTAAGCAGAATGGAATTCGATCAACTGATTAGTTCTGCATTGCAAAAATATTTTTTTTTAAAGTGGCCTCTTAACTTGACTAAAGATAATCTTCCTTTAAACACCATTAAGTGTTCCTAAGTTGAAACTTTTATGGAAATCAAACTTCGTTTTAACTAAGTCCTTTAAAAGCAGTCAAAGAGATCACTAGGATACTTTTTGGTACATGGAAATTTATCAGTCACAGAATAAAATGCAATTTAGCAATGAGCTGTCTTTGTGATAGACTGAGGTTTGAACCTTAGCGGAGGCTCGAAACTCAAGCTTCAAATCTTTAGGTATCAGCTTGAGAAGTTTATCATGCTTTTGGCCACATAATTGTTGAGCCTTAACCCTTTCTGGACCTTTACGGTTGACAAACTAAAGCAAACAACGTTAAAGAGCACAAAAATATTTTTAAAAATATTTTTGCCCTCTTTAACGTTGTTTGCCTTAGTTTGCATTTTAACACAAAGGTTGCCCACTTGCGTCTTTAAAGTTGAGTTGGCTTTATATTGAGTTTCATCATAATAGATAATTTTATTGCATTACCTTATAAGTAAGACAGTATTATCTTGCAAAATTGTTTAAAACACAAGAATATAGCAGTAAAGCAAAATTTGTCTTTAATTTAGTTGTCATCAAAGAAAAGCTGTCTTATCGAGAAAACAATTTCGGTTGAAGACAATGAGATTCAATTTACCATAAATACGATATGAATCAAATAATGCATAATTATGATGCAACTCATTATCTTGTAAGTAAGCAGCGTATTATCTTGCAATATAGTTGAAAGCGCTTTAATGTAACAGTGAAAAAATTGCCTTTATTTGCTAACTATTTAAGTCAATAATCAAATGAAAGCTTCGTCGTATCCATTACAAAGAAATAGGTAAAAACAAGACAATGAAATTCATTCTACCAAAATTGTATTCATTCAAGTCAATGTTAGCTTCGCGTGCATGAAGGGCATATTTCTATTAAGCGGATATAAATGCACGATTCCACTTGTAGTTTACAATTATTTAATATGAAGGTGAAATAGAAATATGGGTGGAACCCTAATTATGATGGATTGAGATGAGACTAAATGAAAGTGAGAACAATAAGCATGTTTTGCATAGAAAAGGAAACACCAATTTTGTTTTGCCAAAATCACCCACCACACCCTACTTAACTATTCTCTCAGAAAAAAAACAGGTTAGCTTATATTGGGCAGTTTCTGATTTTCGGAACAGTATGTTTCTATGCTAATAACATAAAAATTAAAACAGTTTCCTCAATTTAGAGATTAATTCAAAGAACTTTGCGCTTAGTATACGAAAGTCTTTCATTAGTTAAAACTGTACTTAGATATTTGGTAAAATATTATAAAGTGCGTTAAGATCTTATGATATATTCCAAAAACAACATTCCCAGAAAAAAAGCTCTTTTTCTTTCTTAATCTTAGTTATCAAAGTCAGCCTTATTTTAAGATGAAAGTAAAAGTAGATATTAATATTGGAATAAAACAAACCTTACTCCAAAATAGTGATTGTGCTTCCATACACTTTAGTATAATTTAGAAAACTGGTAAAAACATTCTGAATTGATCTTATAATTTTATTTTTCGAAATATCACTTAAAATTTTCAAGAAACTTAAATAATTAAGCTAAAATTAAGCTAGTTAGCAAAAGAGTTATAGCTAGATAGCAAAACAATAGCCAACAGTTATATACATTGACAAAATTCCTTTATGAACAGCGTGCATTTTTTAAGATTTAAAATTATGAAACATTCCATTTTGTCATATTTTCAGGTTGTAGGGCATATCAGTATGATTTTTTAGAGAAGATTTTTTTCATGTATATTTCGGATACTATTCTGTTAAAAAAAATAACTCTAAAGAAATATTTTTGGCACCGAATATTTCTTTGATATAAATTAAAGATTTAGAGATAAATTCTTAGCATTATTAAAATTTATATAATTTACCTTTTCAACATGAAATCTTTTAAAATTAAATTACTCGTCTAACTTTAAAATTAACTTTAGTAAGATTATAATGAACATTCAGTCATTTTCAAAAACTTTTAGACAGTTTTCCAATTGTTTATTAATTTTCTCTTGATTTTTGCTAATTTTAAAGCAAAGTGAGTTCTTTCTTAGAATCTGAATGATGTACGGTTTTACTTGAATAAATTAATCGAAAATCGAATCGAAATTTGCAAATTAGTTAATAATATCATGTGATTAAATCGAGACTTTAAACTGAAATTTATGCTACTCTTGACTATTATATTAGAGTTATTTTATAGAATAATGATAATTTTTATGCATTATCAAAATTATTATGGCACTTTTAATATAACTAGAAGGCTCTACTCCTTGTTCATTTAACTCTCTCATACTAATATTTTCTCATTCATCATTATTTGTTTTTAAAGTTGATTTAGAAAGATCAATTTGTTTATTAAATAAACAATTACTAAAACTTGATGTAAGCACATTTTGTTAATAGTCCATCCATAACGAGCTGAATGGATACCTAGATTTAAAAAATAATTACCTGCAAATTGAAGAAAAAATATTTAAAATTAGAAATACAGAACGTGCTTAAAAAGAAGCTCTAACAAAGGAGAAGTAGTTTCACTTATTAACAACGATAACATTGTATAACGATAACTTATATAACAGTTCGAATTGGAAATAGTTTTTCATCTCTAAAGTTGTTATATTTTTAAAAATATCTGCCCAAATGTAAAGATTTAAGGGTCCACATCAAAAGGGAAAATGATTATGATTTTTCTATGGTAACCTATGAAGGATTTTATTCCAAGAATTCCTTATTTACTAGATTACAATTTTAAAATATTTTATTCCAATTTTTGCATTGAATTCCGTTCTATTGATCCTGATTAAAGGATTCTAAATGTTAAGGTTTTAAGTATTCTTAAAGCTTGGAATATGAGAAATCTTAAAATTTGAAAAAGTTTTCAAAATACTTGCAGCATTAAAATTTCTTTACTCATGCAACATTAAAATTTCTTTACTCAAGATCAACTGAGCACTGTTCAGCTAATAAATGGAATCCAAAATTATTCAGAAATATTAACCAGTTGCTACATAAATAAGAAAATTCTGTACACATTATTTCCCGTAGGTAAGCATGGAAGTAAAATCTTTTTTTCGATCTGACGAAAAGAGCTTTTAATTTTGGTCAAGATCTAATCTGTCAGTATTATATTTTTTCAGTTATTTGTTACTTTTATCATCAAGTCAAGCACGAGCTCAGAAAATAAAAAGCTCTCAATAGGTAAAATCTCCTACAACAACGAATCTTTATTTAAAACAAATGAGCATTATCAGGAATATTTAATTGATATATTTGAATTGCAAATGAGCAATATTCAAAGCATTATTTAAAACAATGAATCATTATTTGAATAATGAGACATTATTTAAAGCAAAATATGTGAAAAAAATCAATAAAAAAGCACTTTAAATTGCAATAGTGTGTAAAATGTATCATGAATGTAGCTTTTGAAAATATTTCAAAGCATATTTTTGGTTTTTTGATTTGATGTGTATTTAGTTACTCTAGTAATCTAGAGATTACTTTAGATATTTGGCCTAAATTTTCTAAAATTTTTTTACTCACGGTATTTTCTTAAACCTGAGCAGTTTATTTATATCACATTATCTTAAAATGACTTGCAATGTATTTATATGGACACATTTCGTAGAAAAGGATATGTTTATTTACTATTTAATATACCATGCGCAAATTGGCACTTACATACACTCTATTCATTTATAACCCGTGACCCAATTCTGAGTTAACGACTATCAATGCTCAACTCCGTGGCCTTGTAATTTTGAACCCAATACAGAAGACAAGGGACCAATCATTGGGCGAAAATTGCCTTCGTGTAGGATTCCTTGATGGAACTAACCCGTATTTGCGTTACATGGTGAGGAAAACCACGAATGCCTCTTACGGTTAACTTGGTAGCTAGGGGATTCTGACCGATGATCCTTCTACCTCAGGCGATTATTTTACGCCATCACTGTGGTTGGTGGGTGCTGGGTGTAGAATTCATATCAGCCTGCCATTTCTGGGATTTGAACCCGGTTCACCTCATTGGGAGGCGAGCGTTGTCGCCTTGACTCTCTAACATTTTGTTTCTTATTATGAGAGCTGCGTTTGTGGTTATTATTTTCAACTGAGCTTATTGCTAAGCATTAAATAACTAATAGAACTAAGAGCTAGCCCGATAAGTAAATCCCACTTTCATCATGATT